GTGGACCCAATGTATACCAGACCTTTTTGGAATATGTTGTCCCTCACTGGAACGTTGCACATCCCTGGAGTTCTATGTTTGTCAGTCTTGTCTTTTCTGTTAAAATAAATGGAAGCATATAACTTTGTAACATTTAATTCATTTAATAAACATGATTAAAAACAACATTATCTTTTATCTAGTTAATTTAAACTGATATGTTGTTTTGAAATTAAAAAAAAGTTATGTTGATTTTTTTAAAGATAAAAGGATGTCCAAAGAGGCACAAATGGCTATGCATAGAGTGTTGTGGTTCCTGCATATGAGATGAGGTATTTGAGATGAGTATGTGACATAACAAGAAGAGACTATGTGAAAAATGAACAAATGCTGGAAGAGTATAGGGGTGAAAGAGAATGTAGTTAAAAAGGTGAGAAAATCGACCATGTTGAGAGAATGAAAGGAGAAGAACTATTGAAGAGAGTATACAGTACATGGAAAAGCTGGATGGGAAACACAATAGGGAAAGGCTGAGAAAGTCTTGGTTGGAACAATTTGATGAGTATCTGAAAGAACATAAGGAGTTGAGTCAGAAAGAGAATGTGAGGAAGTGTGCTAGAAGAGGCATGAGTGTGTCCAGTGGTGATATTCGAAATATTTAACAAAGGGTTCGCTAACAGAAAATTTTTCCTTAACAATTTTTTTTTCGCTCAAATGGTGCATCGGAAGGCTCTAGTTTAGTAGTGTTACAGAGTATAATACGTATATTTTAATATATTTTTTAAAAGAAACAAAACCACTGAGAAATGTTACATGTGTTTAACAAGGTTCGAAAAACTTTGAAAATGTTAACAATGAGTTCGGCCGAACCTGTGCGAACCCGCTGAATATCACCACTGAGTGTGTCTGACGCAAAGGAGGTGTGTCTGGACAGGAAGATGTAGAGATAGCTTTTAAGATTGTAGTCTGCTGCTCACCTTTTTTGGATTATGAACATGAGGATATGTATGTACGCTATATGTCGATAGTTATTTGGAACACATCTTAGCTTAGTACAGTGATGTACACATGTAAACATGTTTCTGTATTGTCTTCAATAATGCACATTTAAAGACATCTTCAGTATATGGTAAAGTATTTAGTCTTAACAGGGAAGTGGCAAATCAGAAATCCTCATGAAACACAGAAATTTACTCCTGTAATTGATTGCAGATGCTTATGAACTTTCCCAATTATGTAAATTAAGTGTAAAAATAAATAAATAGAATTTATCTGTTTTATGACTACTGTTTTTTGTCCAGTAACAATAATATAAAAAATAAACTTGAGAAAATTAATATTCTAAATGTTTCTATGAAATACAAACTTTGTAAATCTTTACAGAGACCTTTTGAATGCTTAAGAAAGCATATAGAAGACTATGAGCAGAACTCGGTGCTACAAATAGTCCAAGTGTTTTCAAAAGTGTTTCATGCTTTGATTTGTGGAAATCACCACTTAATAGTCCAAAAAGTTGCTAATGAAGTAAGCATCAGTTTAAGATTTTGCTATGTGCTTTTCTGTGAAAAACTTGAGATTTGTTGCATTGCTACAAAAATTGACACATTGGTTGACTGATGAACAAAAAGTGAACAGTGTTCAAATCAGTTAAGAACTACTTAAATGTGTAAATTCAACTGGTGATTAAAAACAACACCAGGAGATAAGATATGAATTTATGGACACAACATTGAAACCAAGATAAGATTGTCTCTCAACCAAAACACCCTATGAGTCAGTCAATGATCAAAATGATGTTGATTGATTTTTTTTACTGGAAAGGCATTTTCCACTATGGATTCATTCAATGTGATCAAAAAGTCAACAAAAAGTTCTACCTAAAGTTTTAAGGTGTTTGAGAGATGCTGTGCACAGAAAGAGGTGAGTTGTGGGAAAACCTAGTTGTTGCATGACAATGCACTGGCCCATGCATTACTCCTATTCCACAGTTATCTGGCAAAAAACAAGACACCTGTCATGCTTCACCCACCTTACTTTCTGGACATAGGTCCCAGCAGACTTTTTCCTGTTTCTCAGGTTGAAAACAACCTCAAAAAAACATCGTTTTTTCAAACCACAGAGGAAATAAAGAATAATGGGATGCAAGATCTATGTGCCATTCTAGAAGGCACATTTCAGGAGGTGTTCCAGTTGTGGAAGAAACACTGGGAGCAGTATGCTGCCAGTATATGGGACTAAACTGAAGGGAACAAAGCCTAATAAACTTTATTAATTAGTGCTGTTACTAATGGGTAATGAATAAAATACAATCTCATCCTAACATGAAAATGAAGTGCAATAATATTCATTCCAGTAAAAGTGTCAATTTTTAATTTTATTTCTAAGTTAAATTCTAGTCATTCGAATTAAGTATTATAATTCTAGGCCTTCAGTATATGTTAAATGTCAAGATTCTAATAATACAATGACAAGACATTATGATAAATTGATTTCGGCAACATTAAGTTTATTTCCATCTTATATGAAAGATCTAGATAAATTTGATAGTAAAACTTGCAAAATAATAAATAGCAGTTACAACTTCCTTTAAAAAGCAAAAACAGATTTCAATCAGATAAAAAATTGTTCTTCATAGAGAATTTAATTGAGTAACAAAAATATCTTTTGTTTAAAGTTATTTATTACAAAACAGATTTCATTCTACTCAGCTAGATTACAATCTCAATTCTTTTACTGATAAAACATAGATGACATTCAAAATTTTGTTTTTGAATCATTGATACATAGTAATTTAAATCAACAAAATGAAAAGAATAGTTTGACATTCAGTTTTAGCAGAATGGTATACATCTAATTGCAAAAATTTGAGTGTCCTGTGGAGATACAAGGGTGGTTCAACTTCTGTTTAGAATTTCAGTAATGGTGATGAAACTGTGTGTGTTCCATGGTTCTAATTTATATTTCTTTCTCTAGATTTTCCTGCTCTACATTCTGACACTTCTCCCATCATTTTGACAATGATATTATGTCTTCAGAATAGAAGTCTTTTGGCTGGTATTGGAGCATAGTCCTGTGCATGATGGAGGAGATCAACAGACTTAGTTAAGAAATTTTGTATCACCCAACCTATAGCAAAAATCACCCTGACTTTTTTTTATAGCAACTGTGAATCCATTCACCAAACAAATGTTTTTATTCACCAGTTACTTTTTCACATACTGTGACTTTTTGTACCAACTAGAAATGAAAGAACAACAACAATATAAAAAAACACAAAGTTTTTATGACTGAGTTTCTCAAACAACTTTATTTTTATTTATTAACAGTAAAGTTATATATTCATATCATTCTGTTTATTCATGTTCTGTGATACTCTTTTTCACAAAATAACTTTTTGTGTACTACTCTGTGGCTATTCACCACTCCAATTGTAAGATGATAATAGCAATCACAATATGAATAAAATTTTCACAAACTGAGAATTTTGCAACAGGCAAGTGTGACCCCTGCTACAGTCCAGATCTGTCACTTTTTGATAATCACCTGTATGGCTCTTTGAAGGAAGCTTTGGAAGACAGAATATTCACTCAGAACACTGAAGTCATTCTGACTTCATCATGAACTCTGACTTAAGAGAGATTATCAAGCAGTGGTTCTGACACCAGCCAAAAGATTTCTATACTACAGGCATAGCCATCATTGCCAGAATGATGAAGAAAGTGTCAACATACATGGAATGTATCTATAGAAAAAAATATAAGTTGGAACAAAGCCTAATAAATTTTAAATGGCAGATAATGAAATGTAGGATAAATATCTTACATTTCATTATCTGCCATTTTGTTTCTCTACTTAAATTGCCTTAATTTAAGTGGACAAACAAAATAGCAGAAAGTTGTCTTAATTTGCAATATTGATATTAGTTGATATGTCAAATTGTACTACAGATGCAATTTCATATTAAAATTATTAGATTTGAAAGGTGTTTCTTTTGATTGTATCTATATTACTAAGGTGACCAACTTTTTTACAATGAAAAGGAGGACACAAATAAATTGAAGGAAAAATTTTCGTAAATAAAAGAAATATTTTATTCATTGCAACAATAATACACTATAGTAATCTCTACTGCATGTGTATGTGCCATGTCATGTTTCAGTAAGAAGTAAACAAAGCCAGTTGTGCGCGGCATGCTTTCTCAAGGTTTCCCATGCAGAGTGCACGTGTCTCATAATCGTGTTTTACCACACTGTACTGAGCCTTGATGATTCGTCATGTCAAATGCAAACATATCACGTCACATGCAATGGATCGGCTTGGCATTGATCAAATATGGAGATTTACAGATTAGTCTTCAAATATCGAAATGGAGGACATGTAGGAGCACACTTTTTGAGGAAGGACAAAACTTACAAAAGAAGGACTGTCCTCCCTAAAGGATGACGATTGGTCACCTTAATATTACTCTAAATACTATATCAACCAGCTGAATGTCAGACACAGTTAAGACATCAGCCTTCTACTCTGGACACCCAGAATCAAATCTGGATGGGTCAAAATCCCCAGGAAATTTTGAGGTAATCTATCCCAGATATGTCAAACCCTGTCCCTCGCCAGCCAGCTAGCTGCCACATTGTGGGCCTAGTCAAATCCACAATGGGCCTGAAAAAGACTCTCATACTGTCCACAAGACAAAAAGAGTCAGAAAATACTTTTATATCAAAATATGTGATAACATTATTAGTCATTATGAGTACTATGCTTGATTATAATGGTCAATATTTCCATTCATAATATGAAATCATTTCTGTAGCAATTACCATCAATGTTCAATATATGAAATACTGGGAGATCAAATAATTGACATTCTGAAACAGTAATGGATCTGTGCAGAGAAAAGAATGGTCTCTTTCCAACTTTTCCAACTTTATTGATGACATTAATGTAACCTGAAGATTAATCAGTCACTGGAGAAAAAAGGAATGATGGGACAGAATAAATCAGTTAGACTGAAGACTTACCATTGTTTGGGTCAGCAGGGAAAAAAAGGTTGATTGGGATTTCGGTTTCTAGGTCAGGAGATGGAGATACTTCATGCCATGAGTTGTAGAAATCATTATTGTCCAGAAAAGTGACTGCCGATGAAAAAGAAATTCACAAATTAGTGGTACATACAAACCTAACACCAAATTTCTGTTTGACAGAAACTGCTTGACTGAAATATTTTATTTTCAAAAACACTAGCCTTCTGAAGAGTCATCAATTGGTAAATAATAAAAATCTATTAACATTATATCTGACAGATCAACACTAGGATAGACTCCAACATTGAGAAACTGCTGTATTTTTAGCCATCCATGAAATGTTTCTCAATCATCCATTACTTCAAATTTAGAATTTTCAGAATATTTTCAGTTTTAACATTTTTTTTAAATCTGCAGGATTGGCTAGTAGGTATACAGCACTCAATCACTTTGCTTACTCAGATTAGAAAAATCATAACCAATTATCATATTGATAGAAGATGATTGAAAATCTAATTTCTATATGATGTTTGTTTTGATCACAAAGCTACTGTAATTTTAAACATCATGTTTTTTTGTAGATCATTACATATACTATAAGCATTCAGCTGAAACATGGGGCAAATTTACAATAACATCTAAAACTGAAATATGGAGCATCATAAACAAGAGCAAAGACTGACAGTGAAATTCAAACTTAGGTATCTCTAACAGAACTGCCAAGCAAGAATTTAGGAAATAAATTTAAAAATAACTTTTCCATTCATTAAAGATTTATATTGATGTTTTAAATGATAGTAAAGTTTGTTTTAAAAAATCTTAAATATTATACAAATAAGTGTACATAAATGGTCATTAATATATTGTTAAAACAAATGCAACAATCATTACTGGAAAATAACTTTACCACAAATGCAACATTATCTGATAAAAGAAGAATTTTGTTACTTTATAAAACATTCTTCAAACATACTCTTTATTTTATATATTTATTTTTCACTTTGTATTATCCTTTATTTCTGTAATTTAAAAAAATTTATCCAACAAAAACTTACTGTGTTTAAAAACAACTGTTTGAATCAAAATCATTAAATTTCTATTTTAAATATATTAAATAATTATTATAGTGTTTGGAACTTTAATATATTTTTAATTTCTTTAACCCTGCATTTTTATGATTGCAAAATGAAAGATTTCCCATCAATCTCTTTATTCCAAATATTTGATTAATATGTTTATTACATTTGAGTGTATTATAAATACATTTTGTTAGAATATCAGTGTTTCAAAATTTCAGTTTGGGAATATTTCTAAAAGTCTGTACTTTCTGGAACTTGACACTTTATGGAATAAATCAATGTCTTCAATTCATTTAACTTTTGTTTTGCATTCCAGACAAAAACAAATAACTTCACTGAATGGTTGGAATTGCTGGAATATTCATCTATAAAATATCTTAATACGACACATACCTTTTGGTGAAGAGAGACTCTTCCTGGATTTAAAAAACCGTGCCTCTTCTTCAAACTGTTTTCTTTGATATCTTTTATGAAGTCGCCAAACATAGATCATCACACCAATCAGTACCACCAGCAAAAATACAGCCATGGTTATTGCTACACCTAAAACATGAAGATTATCAAAATTGTAATCAATGAATTAAATTTATTTTACTTATTATTTTAATGACAATCTATGGCATTTACTGACTTGTAGAAAGAAATTTGTGTTCCAAAGAAACTTTCATTAAAATGCTTTATTTAATTCTTTCAACCAAAGTTCACTTCTGTCAGTTTATGTGAAACACAATGTCTTTGAATTTTAATTAGAGTACTGAAAAGCACCCGTGTATAGTATTTTGGATATTAGAGTTGATATTTTTAATTAAATACTCTAGAAAATTTCTAGAGTATTTAATTAAATTTAGTAATTATGATTGATGATAAAATTCAGTTTGTTTGAAATTTTATATTTTCATAAAGAAATTTTTAAAGAATAATTAATTAAAAAGTTTTCAATATTGTAAATACTTAAAACCTCTGAAGATAAAAATCAGTGCTTATTTTTCTTACAGTATAAAATACTGCATTCTTTCATTTTAAAGTCTATAACAGAAGAAGAAATTTAATGCAATTGTAGAATAGTGGGTCCTGCAGCTTTTGTAGAAATCAAGTACTGGTAAATACTACTCATCCACAAAATTTTGTCAAAATCAGTGATCTGCCAGGTACCTCTTGTGAGTAGTATGGTTTCAGTCATCACAGACTTCATTGGGATGATACCTGTCTTCTTAAATTTTTTACAATGACAGCATTAATAACCAACAGTTTTTTAAAACTGTGGTAAATGTTGCATCCTAGGCACAATGCAATAAGCAGGTAAAGATAGCAATCTTCTTATATATATATATACTAGAAGTCTGAGATTATTTGGTTGGTTATAATTAATTACAGAAAAATGGTGCAAAATACCACCACATTTTTAAGAATCCTATACCCCAATTGAGAATAGAAACAAAATAAAATAAATTTTGTTAAAATCAAATGATGGATTTCCAAGTTATCACTGTTTTTTTCTGCTGACAATGCCATTCTGTATGACATACTTTTTAAAGTTGCCAATTACTGTCCTAAAACTATATTAAATTGTCCAATGGATTAATTTCAGTAAAATATTGAAACTATCTCCATTCTCTTCTGAGTATTAAGCAACACAACGAGTCATGGGTAAAGTAGTACTCTACATAACTATAAATTTGGTTATAACTTAGATAGATATTGCAAGCCCTAATTATTTAAAATAGAATGGATATCTGTCTGTTCTCTATCACATCTAAACCCTTTGACTAATACACCCATATTTTACATCACAAAAAAGTACAAGTGTTGGCTGTATTTGAATAGAACAAATACGAGGGTCATTCTAAAAGTAAAGAACATTTGTTTCTCTAGATATTTTTATTTAAGATAATGATACAAAACTTATTTTACAACACATGATACCTTAGCTATATTTCTACATAGTCGCCATACAAATTTAAACATTTGTCATAGCGTATCATCAGTTTTTCTATGCCTTCTGCACAATTACCGCCAAGTTCTTGAACCAGTCATTAACGGCCTCTTTCAGTTTGTTGTCACTTCTGTGAGGCTCCGGAAGTGGGTTGAAATTTGTGCACAGAAAATGTTTTAATTTCGTATAAAAAAAAGTGTTTTTTTAAATTATAATAATAATCATTATTTTATATTGTAAAAAGAAACCGTCTAACGCAAGGCGAATATATTATGTCCCTATATAGTCATATCTGTAGAAATTTCTGAGAAAAAACGAATTTCTCAGAAAGAAACAATAGATGAATTTGAGTACTTAGATCGAACATCTTCGATAGGAATCAAATTGTCAGTCAGGGGGACTCACCCTGTGATCTGGGCTCCGATCCTGTTACAATTCGTAATGAGGAGGGGAGACCAATTAGAGAACGGAGGCAGATCTGAATCGACCTATCGGAATGTTCGATCTGGGACTCAGAAAAACTTATAAAATCGCGCAAAAATAGGATGTGACATTCTTGGTGCTTGGATACGTAGGGATTCTTCTCCTGGATGTGCATGATCCCGACTTTGAAAAAAAACAAAGAATATTTTGGAACATCGTGGAAGCATCGTTCTCTGGGTGCCTCCTAGCGATCTACAGATTCGTCAGTTCGTCCAACGAGAAGCTGCCGAAAGCCGTGATCAACGCCCCGGGGCCTACGGAATATTTCACCGGCAGCGTCCATCCACAAGTAACGAAAACCAAATTTTTCAAACTTTATTTCGGACTTTACCTGCGCGCTTTGTGGTGCTACTTCGTCCATCAAGGAATTTGTAAGAAAATTTTCTATATTTATTAAACGGTATACGATGGAGGACCTGTCTCAGTAAAGTTTTTTCCACTCCCACACGACAGTGCTGACCGCTCGACTGTCGCGACACTCCCCCCCAATCGGCAAACCTCGGACTTCCATAATGATTCCTGGCTAAAAAAATCCTTCAATTTTGGGAAAAGATGTAATCACTCAGAGCCTAGTCTGGGTTATAAGAAGGATGTTCAAAAATTTCCCACTTAAACTGCTGAAGCAAGTTCTTCATCAATGCAGCAGCATGCAGATGTGTGTTATCCTGAAGAAGCACAATGCCTCTGGACAACAATCCCCACCGTTTGTTTTGAACTGAAGCTTCATTCATCACATTACCATAAACCTTGGTTATCTGTCTGTAAATTTCAATAGGGTGGACTTTTTTCACATTCAAAAAGCGTATTACACTACAAACCTCACACTTGGCAGGATCTTTAATTTTGTCACACATTTCAAAGTCACATTGTAAACAGTAAACAATCGTTGTGGCTTGCTGTTAGCATCAGACTAATGTGAAAACATATGAAGGTTCATGATGCGGCAGTTGAGGATGGTAGGAGAACTGAATGGCTTGTCAGATCAAAACATTCTTTTTCTTTTAGAATGACCCTCAAATTTTAAAACATTCTAAACTAAATGTTTCAAATGTCAACAGCTGAACCTTTGAAGTTATGGATAAATGGAAATGTAAAGACAGATATGTAAAACATATATAAAAATAAAGATAATAATAATAATAATAATAATAATAATAATAATAATAATAATAATAACTCTCCCATGGTCACCACCTGGTCGTGGTGGGAGAGCCCAGTAGTTTTACAGATCCATAGGGCAATGCAGGCTGGAGCACAAGCTCCTGGTAGGGACACCCATGCCAGTAAGGTCTATGGGGAGAAATGAAGCTAAGAGTGACCACACACCCACATTCTGTGGAGATAATCATTATGGTAGTAACCAGATCTAAGTATGATACCGGCTCGGACGTCGCCCGGGTTAACAAGGTCCGCGTTCGTGGG